GAAAATCTTGTTTTAAGGCCATCAAAATGTTCTCGGATCAATTTAGCCATCAATCCATCCATTTTCTACCCTTTAATCCATTTCTGGGTCAGGGGGGTGGCAGTCAGAGATGCCACCCAAGTCTCATAGCACCAGCCCCTCACTGACCCTCTGCAGGTGGTGAGTCCACAGGAGGACGGCTGCTCTCTGAGCGGCCTTGATCTTTCAGTGGGGGCTTTTTGGGCAAAGTAGGGTTAAGTGTCTTGCCCAAGGACACAACGACAGCAGTCATCAGTGGGAGTCGGTGGAGAAGGTGTAGAGGTGGGAATTGAACCCACGACCTTCAGGCCTGCTCTACCAACTGAGCTACTGTCGCCCTTTATAAAATTTATAAAAATTGTGTTTTACCCATCAACAAATCATTTTATTTTTAGGGTTGAGCTATAGGTTGGAGATCCATGCTTTACTTTCTCGTTTCATTTTGTTCATTCTCGTTTCGACGTAATATCTTCAGTTGCAAAGAGAGAGTGAAAGTATGAAAGATAGAATAGACTTCAACTACCAGCTGCATAAACATGTGATAAAGACAGTAGCATGTGTACGTTTTACTGCACTGCACGAGTAAAAGTTGATATTATAAAATGTCTGGGTTAAAATATTCCCACAGTATATGGATGTGACTCATTGTACCATCTGACAGGATAATCACACATTCATTGCATTTTTAATTAAGGATAATTCTCCTTTAAATGTTTGTTCAGAAAAAGTCAAATATGGTTTGTATGTTGACAAATGATTTCACTTGTAAGAAAGTAAGTAATATGTATTATCTGGGGACAAATAAAATAATTACATACTGGCCCTTTAATCAACATGTGTTTTACAGAGGTTTAACATATGCTCCACATGTAAACAACATTTCCAGTCTTTGAGGAACATGAAAGATAAGCCATCCATCCATTTTCTTCCCCTGAATCCATTTCTGTGTCGGGGGTGGCAGTCAGCCCCTCATTGCAGGTGGATGACGGTATAGCCTTGATCTTTCAGAGGGGGCTTCAGGCAAAGTGGGGGTTAAGTGTCTTGCCCAAGGACACTACGACAGCGGACATCAGTGGGAGTCGGTGGAGAAGGAGAAGGTTCACCAGAAAGCAGCCAGTTATTCTCAACATGAAAAATGAAAAGAAAAATGTCTCATAAATACGTCCTTCTGGTTACATTGGAGGATTTTCTACTTCCGGGTGGATCATCAAGACGATTGGTCCTCTTAACTGTCAATCATTCTGGTGATACGTGCTCGTCAAATAAGATTAGAGAGTTTTGTTCAGACAGTGGAGAGGGCGGTTCTTTCCTAAAATTTGGCAAATTCCTCCTAAAAAGCTTTAACATCTTAACTCAATGTAAAGGTGCACTTTATTGATCCCCGTAGGGCACTTCACCCGCTGCATTTGACCCATCCTGATGCCGCTAAGGCTTACGTCAGGAGCAGTGGTCGCCGTAGCAACAGCGCCTGGGAACCCATCTCCAGATGTTGATGCTCGGCTTGGTCAGGACCAGAGCTGGAGGATTTAACCTAGTGTGCCTGTTTTTTTAGTGGTAGGGGAAACCGGAGCACCCGGAGGAAACCTACACAAGCACAGGGAGAACATGCAAACTCCACTCAGAAAGACCCCGTTCTGACTGGGATTCGAACCCAGGACCTTCTTGCTGAGAGGCGAGAGTGCTATCTACTCAGGCACCGTGCAGCCCTTCCAGAATGTTAAAACTCTTCTTACAAACACACTAATCAACAACAGCGAACAATAATCGAACCACTGTTTTTTGACATTTAGCTGTAAATTAAAAATGAAATCATCTTAATCTGGTCCAAACTGTTTCAAGATCCGCTTTTCTTCCTTTGATTAAAAACAAGCAAAAATAAACTCACACAGGCAAACAAAAGTCAGTATCGTCACAACCGTTTATTCAGATCAAAGAGAAAGTGGGAATCTTCTCACTTCGCCAATGCGTTTATTACCCACGATAACGAGGTCTCCCATCCGGCCCCATTTCATTTTGCTTATCTCTACAGCCTCACACACATCTACACAGCGGCCAAGAAATGACAGCACGCTTTCAGCTCCCCAAAAAGACAGACATTCATGGACATTGTGCGCTGGACGGGCGGCTTTCTGCAGTGGAGGTTTGTATCTCTGGGAGTTCCAATATGGCCGCCACAAATCAAAAATCCATCCATCCATCCATCCATTTTCTACCCTTTAATCCAGCCATTCCCAAACTCAGTAACACCGAGGCCCCCTTAAAAATCTGACGGGTCTGCGTGGCCCCCCAAAATAATAACCAAGAAGACAACATTAAGAATAGGCTCTTCTGGTTATTTTATTTTGGGGAAAATACAAACATTGTAATACAAAAATGATTACAGTGGATTATTCAAGTCAAATAATGAACACAAATATTTTTATATTACAAACAAAACATTATAAATTTAACATTAAATAATTATATTATTTTTTTATTTTTTTTATGACCTCCCGCGGCCCCCCTGCAGTACCCTCGCGGCCCACCAGGGGGCCGCGGACCCCACTTTGGGAGACACTGCTTTAATCCATTTCTGGGTCAGGGGGGTGGCAGTCAGAGATGCCACCCAAGTCTCATAGCACCAGCCCCTCACTGACCCTCTGCAGGTGGTGAGTCCACAGGAGGACGGCTGCTCCCTGAGTGTGAGCATAGCCTTGATCTTTCAGCTATCAAAAAATCAAATCAAAAAGACATGAAAAAATGCAAAGCGGGCGTGACTTTAGCTTGTGCTGTGGTTCCTCGGCCAAAAACGACAAACCCTTCCCTAAATGTTTGATTAGGAGAATGCAGGGATCCAAAAAAACCATATCAAACTGGGCTGAGCATGAGGACTTTTCAGATGGATGTGTTTTGGAGAGGGTTGGGTTACACTTGTGTTTTAGCAGAAGACACACGGCAGCGAGAGGGAAGGTCACTCCTTTGGCCGGTTTTTCTGTCTCCAAGCACCAGAGGGTATTTAGCAGTGAGGACAAACAGCTGTAGGAGACACGGGAGAACGCATTGAAACTCTAAAGGCAGGGGTCCCCAACCTTTTTTCAATCGTAGAGGTACTTTTACACGACAGAAGAGACAGAGAGCTACTCCTTTCTACGGTCGTGATTAAGATCTACGTGTGGTGATTATGACAAAACATGGAGAACAAATATAAATAATCCTATAAAAATGTCCATTGTAAGTATATGTATTTATACTTTTAATAGACATGGAATGACTCAATATGTATTCTTTCAGGATTGTGTGTTAAATTCTAAATCCGTTGGGGAGCTACATGAAAGGGGCTGGAGAGCTACAGGTTGGAGACCACTGCTCTATGGATGTATTTATATATTTGTATGTCTCAATGGCTTTCCGTATGAAATGTATAATGCATTATATTATTTCGAGCTACGCTACTATTGAACTATTAATAAATGGCTTCAGAACGAAAGATTGAGATAATATTAATAATATTCCAGTTTTGCTATACATATATAAAACTGTCTTTTCTGGACTATAAAGCTCGCCGGTAGATAAACCACAAAATAAAGTATTTTTTGTTCATATAAAGGCCGCACTTGAATCTAAATTGAATATATTTTCATGTTCGGATTCAGACTTGTTTTCTTGACCATTTGCAGTAAAACCACATTGGAAAAATACACTTCTTGTGCACCAGACAGGTACATTCATTTAATGTTGTGATCATTGATCCAACTGCTGGGTCGACTCTAAACGTGCGAAAAAGTAGCGTTTTATAGTCCGGCAATTACAGTAATTGTAATATTATGTAATGTGTCTTTATGTATCACTTTTGTCTCTATTTTTTACAATAAGCATCATTTGAGAAAAAAAAAAGTTTTAAAGAAGAGTATTTTTAATGTTCCCCATAGTCCGTTAAATAACCCCACAGCAGTAACCATGGAGACACGTGTTTCCTTTTGTTAAATAAATCATAAAATACACCGATTTTTTTACACTCAGCTTAGATTTCTAGATCTTCGCCCCCGAAATAAAGTCTTTTGTACGGTCTGCTTTCAGCGCAGCAACTTACTCCTATGATTATCTACAGCAGAGATATAGTCAGAGCTCCACTTTGGAAAACCCGGCTGGTTTTGTTTTGTTCATGAGGTATGACATGTCCCTATTTTGACTAAAGCTGCAAATAAATGTCTATATATTAAAATAAAAGTCAAGGGCTGAATTCTAGAGGTTCTGAGCTTTACAATGAGGTATAACATGGGTATAGCGGTAGCCCTGAAGTTGGCTGGATGACACTGAGAGCTGCGGTTTAAGCTCTCAGAGACTATATTCTGGGTTAACAAGGCAGAGGCCACATAACAACACACAGAGGGCTGCAAGTTTGGACATGACTGACCTATAGTCTCAACACTTTGACTATAGCACAACTTTTCTACGGAAAAGTTGCACGGTCCATCTTCATCTTCTTGCTTCGGACTCAGATCTGAAACATTCTTCTCCTCTGACAGGCACAGAGCGTCTCCTTCACAGTCACAGACACAGAGAGTGCTGCAGGCGTTATGGTCACGGGAAATTTCTAAGGTTTTCCAGTCCTACCACGAAATACAGATAAGGGCTCCAGTTTGATGTGGCGTGTCATTGGCTGATTTTAACCAGCTCTTGGGGATGAATGGTGGTTTGTTCGGGAGGCTGCAGTGTACCGGGGTGTCCACAAGAGGGCGCACGGTCAAAGCAAACACACACACACACACACACACACACACACATACATCTACTTCATCTTTGCAGTGGAGTCTGTGCACGATGTTACCGGCTTCCTTTGAATGTCATGCAAAACACTAGCCTGCGTGATTTGCATTCAAGTCAAAACAGAGCAAGACATCCACAAAATAGTAATGATATAAAAAAGAAAAAACAAATCCGAGTCCATGATGATATTGCTGAGAGTATTATTCATGTTGTGGGGTTGCTTGGGTGTGTTGGGCTCAGTGAATGCGGGGGACGGGGTGCATCAGGGTCATGTGCTGGGCCCCGTTGAAAGGCAGCCGCTGAGTGCAGTAGTGATGGACCACTTCGGGGATACTGGGGAAAACACAGCTGCTCTGGTCCAAAGTGAAGCTGCTCTCTTTGGTCTGCGCCACGATGATGTGCACGCAGCCATGGCTCGTCCTGAGGAAGAGGAAGAAGGGATAGAAAGAAATGTGTGAATATGGAAAACGTCCTTTCTGTCATTTGACGTCTGTGTTCTGTCTGTTCTCGTTTACTTTCAAATGTCATCTCAAAACACACACTTTTTACACACAGGTCTCAGGTCTCTGCTTCCTGTGGGCGGAAAATAGACTTTATATTAGTTTGGTTTGTTACAAGTCTCTTCACGGCCTCACACCAAAGTATAAGTGACATGTTAGTGCCATATCAACCAACTCGGACTCTGAGGAGCACAGGGACTGGACTCCTGCTGGGACTCCGAGGAGCACAGGGACTGGACTCCTGCTGGGACTCCGAGGAGCACAGGGACTGGACTCCTGCTGGGACTCTGAGGAGCACAGGGACTGGACTCCTGCTGGGACTCTGAGGAGCACAGGGACTGGACTCCTGCTGGGACTCTGAGGAGCACAGGGACTGGACTCCTGCTGGGACTCTGAGGAGCACAGGGACTGGACTCCTGCTGGGACTCCGAGGAGCACAGGGACTGGCCTTCTGCTGGGACTCTGAGGAGCACAGGGACTGGACTCCTGCTGGGACTCCGAGGAGCACAGGGACTGGCCTTCTGCTGGGACTCTGAGGAGCATAGGGACTGGACTCCTGCTGGGACTCTGAGGAGCACAGGGACTGGACTCCTGCTGGGACTCTGAGGAGCACAGGGACTGGACTCCTGCTGGGACTCTGAGGAGCGCAGGGACTGGACTCCTGCTGGGACTCTGAGGAGCACAGGGACTGGACTCCTGCTGGGACTCCGAGGAGCACAGGGACTGGCCTTCTGCTGGGACTCTGAGGAGCATAGGGACTGGACTCCTGCTGGGACTCTGAGGAGCACAGGGACTGGACTCCTGCTGGGACTCTGAGGAGCACAGGGACTGGACTCCTGCTGGGACTCCGAGGAGCACAGGGACTGGCCTTCTGCTGGGACTCTGAGGAGCACAGGGACTGGACTCCTGCTGGGACTCCGGGGAGCACAGGGACTGGCCTTCTGCTGGGACTCTGAGGAGCATAGGGACTGGACTCCTGCTGGGACTCTGAGGAGCACAGGGACTGGACTCCTGCTGGGACTCCGAGGAGCACAGGGACTGGCCTTCTGCTGGGACTCTGAGGAGCACAGGGACTGGACTCCTGCTGGGACTCTGAGGAGCACAGGGACTGGACTCCTGCTGGGACTCTGAGGAGCACAGGGACTGGACTCCTGCTGGGACTCTGAGGAGCGCAGGGACTGGACTCCTGCTGGGACTCTGAGGAGCACAGGGACTGGACTCCTGCTGGGACTCTGAGGAGCACAGGGACTGGACTCCTGCTGGGACTCTGAGGAGCACAGGGACTGGACTCCTGCTGGGACTCTGAGGAGCACAGGGACTGGACTCCTGCTGGGACTCTGAGGAGCACAGGGACTGGACTCCTGCTGGGACTCTGAGGAGCACAGGGACTGGACTCCTGCTGGTTCCAAAGTCAGAACTAAACATGGGGAGGCTGCTTTTCAGATTCATTCTGCTAAAATCTGGAACAATCTTCCTGAAGACGTGAGACAGGCCTCTTCTCTGACAATGTTTAAATCCAGGTTAAAAACAGTTCTGTTTATCTGTTACATCTGAGGGATTTTATATTTGTATCTATCTTTTTAATATACTGTGATTATTTATGAGTTGAATGTCTTGTGTGACTGTTTAAAGAGGCAATATGTATGTTTTAAGTTTTAAGTTCTGTACCTAAAGTTGTGTACTTTCACCACGAAAAGTTATGATAAGTAAATTCTTCAAAACCAGAAATACAGATCACGTGCCTCTTTATAGTATTTTGAAAGTTGATTTGTGTAAGCCATGTTTTATCTGCAAATCTACATTTTTACAAACGTACTCAAAACAGCCTCAGGGTCCTATTATTAATTCATAAAAATACATATTCATGAATTTGAGCGTTCCACAAATCACAACCCAACATTTACTTTAGCATGTGATTACATATAACGGGATAAGCCATTATTATTTTTGTGAATGTAAAAGAAAGGCACCATCTAAGGCAGCGCAGACACGGGTGCAGTTCCAGTTTCACTCACTTGAGGGCGATAGAGTACTTGCTGTTATCGGACTCTATGTTTCTGACCAAGAAACTGGCTTCTTTACAGGACTGAAGCTGAAACTCTGCCTCCTGGCGAGTCACACAGCCGTGGTACCAACTGAAACATACATAATACATTTGTTTACCTTTTGCTAAGTCACAAAACCAGAATAACAGAAAGACAGAATGGAATAAATGCAGCGAAAACAACATGAAAGGATCTTAAAACTTCCCGTCGTTATTATTATTCCCAAGCCAAAGGAAGCTGGGAGCGTGGTCGTTCTTTATTTTGGCATTGATTCAAAGTTTAATGTGCTTTTCTAAATGTAAACTAGTCATTTTTCGTACAAATGTGAAATTACAGGCTGTGTTTGTGGTTGTGTTACTGCAGTTTGGGTCAATATATGATTAAACAAATCTTAAGGCCAGTTAATGCTTTACACCTGTAACTCCCAATGCTACCACCAGGGGGAGGAGTGGGATTTGTTTTTTTTGTTTTTTTGGTAATGTGTGGAAATTACCAGCTGCAAACACAGCCATGGAATTGTACAGAATGTGTTTTCACTTGAGAAATTGCCAAAACTAAAGGATTACTTCTGAGGTTGAGAGAGGGGCTTTTAAGGAGTTTCAGTTCCATGCAGTGTGGATGGATTTAAAAACAAGTCCAGGTCTGTTTTTGATGATGGAAAAAAGAAAATTTGCATAACACGTCTGCTTTAAGAAACACACACATTCATCGTTGTACTGGCTTCTTGTTCATTTTAGAATTGATTTTAAGTTTTATTTTATAGTTTCTTGTTAAAGCTTTGAACGGACTGGCCCCACAGCACGTCTCTGACCTCATTCACATTTACCTCCGGCCCCACGCAGAGGTCCGAGGGCCAGCTCCAGCTCGTGGTACCTACAGGACGAGACTTAAAACCCAGGGACAGGGCCTTCTCTGTGGCTGGACCAAATCTGTGGACCACTCTCCTCTCCCATAATCAAACTGCACTTTCTGCGGAGTGTTTTAAGTCTCATCTTAAGACCCATTTTGATCAGAATATTTTTGATTGCCATGAAAGTAACAGGAAGTCACAAACTAGGACATTTCTCTTGGTGCAAACAAATCAAGAGTAGAGTAGTAGTATATAAGGCATATATATTTCTAAAGTATAACATTTTCTAAAATATACAAAATTAAGTAGTTAGTTAAAAAAATCAAAAATATTAAAGTTTATGCTCTGGCTTTTAAGTGATGTTTTTATATATTATTTTTATAAATGTGGTTTTTATCCTATTTGTTTGGTAATGATGTTACTGTTTTACTCCGGATTTGTTTTAATTAGTCTTTTATCGTGCAGAACTTTGGAAACTGTTCATGCAATGTGCTATATAAGTAAATGGAGTTGGATTAGTCACCTTTGCCTCTCCAGGGGCAGTGTGGGGTCCACGCAGCAGCAGCTCTCACTGTCCGAGCTGGAGGAGTTTGAAGGGGACGACTTGAGCATCTTCTGAGTCCAGCTCTTCTGCCGGTGGTGCTGATGCTGAGGCTGAGGCTGGGGCTGGGGCTGGGGGGGATGCTGGGGCTGCCTGGTGAGGGTGGGGTGCAGGGTCTCGGGGCTGTCGAGTTGCGCTGAGCAGAGGCAAAAAGAGCCAACAAGAGCTCCGTAAATAAGTGCCCAAAAACAACTGAAGCTGCCAGATTTGGAGAGAGCACACGGAGACTTTGATGTTTGATGCAGGAGGGATCTCAGTATGCCGCTGGTCTACGCTGCCTCTAAAATATACATGAGAGGCGGCTTTTCCAAAGGTACTTTTATATTGATCCAACACAGAGGAAGGACTTGCTGGGTTCAGAGAATAACTCACAATGCGAAGAGGAAATGTGCAAAGTCAGGTTTACTGTTTTGACTTTGTCTGTGGAAGAATGCTGATAATATCGTTTTTATTTTTATTTTTTACCAGGAAAGTCCCATTGAGATTAGGGTTCGGGTTAACAACTTTGAGTCCTGGACAAGTTTGAGACCTTATGTAATATTTTGGTGAAAGCAAACTCATGCAAACCTCAACCTATTCTAAGTTTGAGAGAAAATTATTATTATTATTGAAAAAAAATTTGTCTGGGATTATCTCAAGACTCGTTTTCAGCCATAGTCCCACAGTAAAGTATTTTCAGTGGTAGGGGAGACTGGAGCGCTCAGAGGACACAGGGAGAACATGCAAACTCCAAATAGGCCCAATGACGCCCGGGAGTCGAAACCCAGGACTTTCTGTGAGGCCACTGCTCCATGATTTATAAAGTCAGTTTGTTGATTAATTTTGAGCGGTAAATGAATATATTTAACGTTGTTCTAAAAAGACATAATGTAGGATTTTAGATTATTGAAAAAAAAACTCAGGCTGACCTTAAAGGGGGGGGTTTCTCTCCCAGTGCAGGTTTTATGGCAGATATCTCATATAACAGTTTGAGCAGTGGTAGATTAAGGAATGGCTTTGGAAAAGAGATATTTTATACAACACATCTTAAAGAGAGCAGTAGAATCTCGACTATCATCAATATTTAAACAAAACTCTATGAAATGGTATGTTTTTTGTCTAATATTATGGAGGGAGTTGTTTTTGATATTGTGTTTCTCCTGTAGTACCTGACAGAGAGCGGACGATGCGCTCCTTCTTCCACTCCCAGGGCAGTTCGTACTCCGTCAGCGGTCGGGGGTCCGGCTCGGGTCCGGCCCTGGGACTCCTCTCGCTCTTGTCCGGGCTGCTGTCATACGGGACGTCGTAGATCTGAGGCGAGGGAGGCTCCTCTTTGGGCACCTCCCCGCTCTCCATCGACACACACGCTCTCAGCAAGTCCTTCGAACCACGACGCCGGATTTCTGTCAAAAAGAATAAAAAGATTAAATTAAATTAAAAAATCAAAGCTGTGTACAATATTCAGATGAGTTAATACACAGAGGTTGGGTAAGTGCATGTGAAAGCCAGATCCTGCTAGACCCCTAAAGCTAAGAAGGGCATGACCTGGTTAGTATGGTGATGGGAGACCTCAGGAAACTGCAGTAGCCACAGTCCTTATAGACAAGACACTTAACCCACATTTCCTAGAATGAGTCTGGTGTGTTGCAATAGTTAGTGGTTGCTGCTATAGTAGTTTATTACCACTGTGGGCGGCACGGTGGCTGAGTGGATAGCACTCTCGCCTCTCAGCAAGAAGGTCCTGGGTTCGAATCCCGGTTGGACCAGGGCCTTTCTGAGTGGAGTTTGCATGTTCTCCCTGTGTCTGCGTAGGTTTCCTCCGGGTGCTCCGGTTTCCCCTACCACTAAAAATATGTACAATAGGTCTGGCATGTGCCTCCTGTACTGGCACCCCTGCTCCCAAAAATAACAATTGTAAACCGCTTTGAGACTCCGATGTGCAGTGAAAAGGCGGTATATAAATAAAGATTACTAATTACTTACTTACTGTGTATGGAGTGAATGAATAATGTCATGTGAAATGTATTTGAGTGAGGAGAGAGAAATACTTCACAGATCGGTTTTAAAAGATGTAAAATGACTGTAAATTTTTCCAGTGTGAGATCCATAAAGTTTATCTTATAGTGGCCAAAGGTTCACTTTTTTAGTAGTTCTATATCCACAAACAAAGCCTATTTTTCCCCAAGAGAACCAGAATTGTATTATTTATGATACTTTAATATATAAAAACATTTACAGCTATAAGAAAAACCCCCTTGACCAATGAAGTCAGTTTTGGATTTAGGTCGTAGTTTTGTTATGTTATGAGTTAAAGAAGTGGACCAATGTCACTGAGGCAAAGGATTTCAAAAATGTTCTCGACATTATAATCCAATAGAATGAAATCATAATAAACGTACTCCTGGTTCTTTAACGCAGGAGGCTGGGGTCTTAATATCACTTCAAATGTGTCTTAACTCCCATCTGTGATTGTTTTAGTACCATTTCCTCTGTGTATTGATGTTATTACAATCCAGACGTTTCACGATTGGTCGAATGAATGAAAACTCCAAGACTCCCTTTGAATCAGTGTGACTCCAGATCCGCTCCCGTTTCCTGTCCGATGATTAAAGAGCCATAAATCGGTCGCTCGTCACTTCACCGGCATCCTCTAAAAAAAACTAACTCCTGCAGACCAGCGCTGGAAGTGACTGACTGAAGCCACAATCCACAGCCCCCCTGCAATAAAACATGTTCGCGGACACAGCAGGGCATTGTGTTACCCTTTTAGTTCAAACAATAGAGCGATGGCATGAAAGGTCAGGCCAGCGTGTGATTGGACGATGGAGTGGCAGTCTTCCTGGATGCTGGGAAGTTTTGATTAATGCTCGAAACAGGTCCATATAGGGGGGGAAACGCAGAGTAGTGGAGCAGTGCGAAAAGAGGGAGGGGGGGGGGCTTCCTTTATGGAGAATAGAACCAGGAAACAGCAGTCAGGAAGTGGGAAGCAGGATCAGGAAGCTGCACCCATTGTCCAATGTTGCCGTGGTAACTCCCAGGGGGGTCGCGATCGCCGGGGGACAGGGTTCACGTCCGTGCTGCAGCAAAGAGACTGGAAATGTGTGGTCTCAAGTGGAAATAAATACGTCACAAGTTCGCAGGGGGAAGACTTTGTGGAGAAAATATATTATAATAGTAATAATAATAATAATAATAATAATACATCAAATATATAAAACTAAGCAGAATTAAGGAAAGGCGGAGACAGGTGGGATTTGAGAAGTGATTTTATGTTCTGTAGTGAGTGACAAAATGTTTTTTGGGTTTTCTCCAGTGGGGGCGGGTCCCAGCTCAAAAGTGGCCAAAATGACATGCGCTGACATACTGCAATACCACCCCGGGCCGATGAGGGTGGACCAGGAATGAGAATTTTTCAATGCTAACATGTAGCATTAGCAGACCTCTCAAAAACGTCTTTACAGGTGGCTGTGAATTTTTGAAGGCACTGGTTTAAATGATTGGGGCTCGTGCAGCTGACTCATGCGCAGATGCGTGTTTTCACATTTTCCGGCCCCCGCAGCCATTTTGAAACTGCCCATAGACCGCGGAAGTTGTGGCACATTAGTTAGAACGGTGGAGATAAGCGTGACTACGTTCTTTTATATTTACAGTCTATGGTTTTCTCAGGCAAAGCTAATGTTGTAATCATAGTCTATAAATATCAACATGACGCCTATCTCTGCCTTTTCCCTCCTGCCGTCTTTTTTTAAATGGCCACAAAAAAAGGCGTATGCGCATGCGTCAGCTGCACAAGCCCCGAGTGCATTCTGAAGACCACAGCGGCTAAACGAGACTGGTCCAAAACAAAATACTCCTCTCAGCATCGACAGCATCTGGAACGTAGCGTTGGACCAAGAGCGACTTTTGGACCATCCTGTAGAGACTTTTTGGAGAGGCTAAAAGACGTCACTAGAATTCAATGGATAATTCTGTTTCCGGGTACACCCCCACAGACGAGGAGCCAGGTACAAGTATGTCAGCACACCCCCACCAGTGACCAAATGTTTAACCAAATATTTATAGGTTTTGTTCAACTCTCAATTTTGGGAAATGCCTCAGAGGACCTTCAAGGGCCCCAAACCCCACTTTGGGAAGCACTGAATCAACACTGACACTCTCCCACACTCTTCAGACCACATTCAGACTGATTCACTCATTTTTAACTGAAAGCTTTTTAGCCCAGAACCAGTTGTAAGGCGACCATGAGGGCTCAGAAAGGCACCAAACAAACAACATTTATTATTATGACTCTTATAAGCATTACTATTTTTATTATTATTACTATTCTATTATTATGACTCTTATAATCATTACTATTATTATTATTATTACTATTCTATTATTATGACTCTTATAATCATTACTATTATTATTATTATTACTATTCTATTATTATGACTCTTATAAGCATTACTATTTTTATTATTATTACTATTCTTCTTCAGTCTGAGCTCCAACGTTTTACTGACTGGATGTTTGTGGGAAAGAGCTCTCACAGGCAATTTCTGAATGACTGAATATCAATAAGAATTTTGATTTCTTTTTTCCTCACAAATTATTTCTGGAGGTAAAAGACAAAGTTTAAGTATAATATTCAGTCTGATATCCACCCATCCATCCATTGTCTTTCTAGAAAAAAAGGTTCCATCTCGTGCCAACTTCCCTCAAAATAAATGAATGAATGAAGACTGATCTATTCCCAATGCAGCCATTTATGTTCGTAAGCAGTGATATATCCTTTGTATAGACGATAATGATGTCAGTATAGGGCCTGTACCTGTGATCATCTTTTGGGCGTCGTAGGGCTCCATGTACCCGTCGTTCTCCCCGACTCTCTCGGCCTCGCGCTGCTCTCTGGTTTTCTGAGCATCGAACGGGTCGGCGTAGTCCTCCAGGATGATCACCTGAATGAAACCATGACATTTCTTTACCGATATTTACTTTCTATTTTGGCACTATCCTCTCCTCCTTTCTACTTTATCTATTTTGCATTATGAGGAATTTGACTGTAGTGTGTTCATTGCTAGTCACCCGTTGTCCTATTGTCTGTTTCATGGGGCGACAACGGGATCTCTGAACCTGGCCTCCTCCATCTACACCTGCGGACTGCCCCGCCCGACCCGCCTGGGAGTGCTTCAGTCCTGCACCGGACCTGTAGCTTAGGTCCTGGATCTACAGCCTGTCCGTCCCTGGGAGCGGATCCCTTTCTCAAACTGTGGGTCTCCTCAAGGTTTCTCACTTTTTTCCCACTGGGTTTTTGTGAGTTTTTCCTTGCCGATGCAGGAGGGTCTTTTGGACAGTAAGTCTAACAAAAAGGATGTGGTGATGATCCAGGACACTTCTGGAACATTCTACAACATATATGGACATTTATCAACATGTGTTCTATATTCTTCATGTGTTTTAACTGTTGATTCTCTGACCTGTGTTGGTGATTTCAATGGTTTTGTTAAGTCTCTGAGATGATGCCGTTGTGATTTAGGGCTATACAAGAATAAATTGTATTGTATTGTATTGTAAATCAATAATATTAAGTACATTAGATTGTTCTCTGAGTATCTGTGTGTTTGCTTTTACCAGTGTTTTTCCACCAGTGCGCCATGGCCAGAAAAGTGTGAAAGATAGAAAGAGAAAGAAGATTAGAAAAACGTTTTGCCCTTGTTTTTTTATGCAATATACTTGGATGAGAATGACTTGCATTGATGCTGCTGTGCTTCATTGTTTGTATCAGTTTTTGCTGTTGCGTTGCAAGGTTATGTCATTTTTTTGGCATTTTCTACCCCTTTATTAATCCATTTCTGGGTCAGGGGGTGGCAAATAGAGCTGTCACCCAAGTCTCAGAGCACCAGTCCTTCTGATCCTCCTGCAGGGGGTGGGTCCACAGGAAGATGGCTGCTCCATGATTGAAGATATGGCCTTGGTCTTTCAGCGGGGGTTTCAGGCAATGTGGGGTTAAGTGTCTTGCCCCGGGACACAACGACAGCAGACATCAATGGGAGCAGGTGACATGGGTCGTGGTGGATTCGAACCCACGACATTCGACCCCAGTGCTCCACCAACTGAGCTACTGTCGGCTTATACTATGTACTACATGTACTTCTTTGCTCTGTCCATTTATTAATTAACTCAAAACACGCAGACAAGTGACACTAAGAGGAGCGTCCAGATGCTGCTGCTTGGCTTGGTTAAAAAACAGGATCTGAATGATTTTATGCAACATGTTCTACAACGTTTATGGACATTGGTCAACTCCCTATGGACCAATGTCTGTGTTTGATTCTCTGATCTGTGTCGGCGAATTCAACTGTTTTGTCAAGTCCTCTGAGAAAACTACTGTTGTGATTTAGGGCGATACAAGAATCCATTGAATTGATTTGAGTTGTATCTACGCTGGGTGTGTTTTGGGTGGTGGGGGACAACTGGAGCGCCCGGAGGAAACCCACTCAGACACAGAAACATGCTCCACACATACAGGCTCGGGACGCCACAAGATTCAAACCCACGATCTTCTTACTGTGAGGCATGAGTGCTACCGGTGCTAACCACTCAGCCACCAGGCCGCACTGGGAAAAGAGATTTGCATAATTAAAATATCTAGTTTCCAAACAGTGGAGCCAATTTTGTTTGTGAGAATCGTTAATGTCTTATTCACACAATCTGTTTCAACCTATGGGATTAAAATATGGGTAAATATATATATATATGGGTAAAGTGTCATTCATGCACCGGGGACTAATTGATACAGCAATGTCGTCGTTAATATCATTTCTATTGTTATTGTCTTATCTGTCTTATAATTTATTACTCATTGGGAACAACATTAACCAGAAGGAAGACAATGGGCTGGTCGTAAAATCAAGTTTTTCTTTCTCCAATCACTTCCCGTCAGGCTCACTTGCCAAAAAGCAACTCTGGCATTTGTTGTCATTTGGAGTTAGTTGAATAGGCCCCGGAGGAGAACCATAGACTGCAGGAGAACCATAAACTGCAGGAGAACCATAAACTGCAGGAGAACCATAGACTGCAGGAGAACCATAGACTGCAGGAGAACCATAAACTGCAGGAGAACCATATACTGCAGGAGAACCATAAACTGCAGGAGAACCATAGACTGCAGGAGAACCATAGACTGCAGGAGAACCATAGACTGCAGGAGAACCATAGACTGCAGGAGAACCATAGACTGCAGGAGAACCATAGACTGCAGGAGAACCATAAACTGCAGGAGAACCATAGACTGCAGGAGAACCATAGACTGCAGGAGAACCATAGACTGCAGGAGAACAGATGGAGACCACTGGAAGAAATATGAAAATGTTGAAATGTCAGTTTTATCTAAATTTGAACATAAAAGCCATAATCTAAACTCTCAGGTATCAATCCTCACGGCTGCTGCGGCTGCTGTAAACACAATAATAATAGCAATTTACACCCTGTTGAAACATTACACCCCTGTTTTATTCTTTCTGTCTTTTATCTGTCCTTTTTCTCACCCTCTCTCCTCTATCACCTCCCTCTTTTTTCATTTTTTTCAAAGTCAGCGCTGGAAGGGACTTGGGTTCGCGCCCGAGTGTCAAGTGTCGCCGTGCTTTTTATAACATGATCACCTTCACCAGGGGGCCCGAACGCAGAGAAAGAGAGGACACAGAGGAGGGGAATATTGACCACTGAAGCTTTGTGCCGTAGGTGGGGGGAAAACAGTGGGAGAGAGACGGGTGAGGGGTGGAGAGGAAGAGAAGGAGAGATAGGAGGAAGACAGCGGAGAATTGGACACAATGGGGAGAGAGACAAAGGCACAAAATGAAACAATATCATTTTTCAGAGCTTGGACTAGATCCTGGTGACTTCTTTGTCAGCAGCAGTCTCTACCTGCAGTCCTTTGTATGTATAGCTAATACCTTAAATAGTAATAACAATCATATAAGACAATACAGGTGGATTATTGTACGTGGACATTGGAGTATTGTTTGTGACAGGTTGTATTGTTATGTATGTTTTAGGTTTCATATGATGCAATGTTTGTGAAAAATGAAACTTTTGAGTATGACACATAAAACACATGATATTTACAACCTGCAGATGTCGGTTCATGAAGTTTTAAATAATTGCACACGTTATGAAGTATTTGTTGTATAAAAGCTTACCGTGTCTGTTTTGGGTTGAGGTACGGGTTTCTCAACTTCTGGTCCTTGATTGTTGATAGCAGCGCTGTTGAAGTTGGGGCATTTGTCCAGCTTGTCCACTCGGATCAGTCGGCTGATGTACGCGTTGGCAGAGGAGGAGATCTTCAGAGGCCGATGCTGTTCCTCAACAACAGGCTGCTCGGCTTTGGAGTTTTTGCACATTTTCCTCGACAGCAGGTTGTCCCAGACTTTGCCGTCCTTCTGAGGAGAGCCGCCTCCATTTCTGTTCAAATCTGCGGCCGAATTTTTCCTGTTTCTTCCAGATAGCAGAGACCCAACTCCTTCAGGGCTGTCAGAGGAGGAGGTCTTGCGAGTTTTAGATGTTTTTGTACCGGTGCCGCCTTTGTTGGGTCTCGGCTGGGATCCGGACTCAGAGGCAGAGCGAATCCTGTCAGTGCCATTTTTCAGGTTCATAGGGAACTCCTTGAACCACTTTGCCATTGTGAACCAAATGGATACAGGAACAGTTGTTTGTCTGCTTCAACACCGTCCAGCGCCATACACCGGGGCCCTAGAGACGCTCCTTTACAAATCACAGTCTTTTGTCAATGACTTCCGTTGCTTTATGCCCAGATACAGGCTTCTATGCTGTGAGATCTCCACACCTCACATTTAACAAAGTCATAGAGCACCCAATCAAAGTAGGCTCTATTCATTCATGCCACAAAAATGCTGAAGTTTGGCAATTGATGAGCCTTGCAAGATCAGTTTTATTCCATTTGTAATTTGATGTCCCACCTGTTTCCTCGGTTGATCTGTTGAGATTATTCCCCTGAAGTGAAGAAGTGTCTTTTAAGAGGGAAATCCCAAATGTAGCACAGGTTGCTCCTGCAGAAGGTGTTTGGTCCCATTCCCAGAGTGAACTTTGACAAGACCTCGTCACACCACTGACTGGGGTAGCTGCAGGAGTAGAAAGGAGGGATGAAGTTGAGAATGGGCTGGCTGGAGGTGGGCGGTGAATGTGTGATAACATGCAAAGTGGGAAGACCCTGATGGTGACAAACTCTGAACGTAGACACATTTACAGTTTCATTCATATAAGCCATATAAGCACAAACACTTATGCATAATTTTACTTATTGTTGATATGCACAAACCAACAAAACAAACAAACATACATACCCTATTTTCTCTCTATTTTAGCCCATTATGGTAAAATGTTAACATACATTTTTTTATAAATGTAATAATTGCATTATATTAATAAATATATAATATGAATACATTGTCTGTAATCATTGACTGTAAAGTTTGAATTGATACGTGACCATTAATCTTTTTACTATAGGAAAAACGCTGCAAAAGTCTATTACAAAATTCAAATCATTTGTTGCTATTTATATTACAACAAACCATGTGTTTTTGAGGGGAATTGAATTCCATTTGAGGGAAAGGCAGGCTGCCTGATGTGCAGACCCCCATGCCGTCAGAAGTTGGTATCTTCCAGGCTGCCTGATGTGCAGACCCCCATGCCGTCAGCAGTTGGTATCTTCCAGGCTGCCTGATGTGCAGACCCCATGCCGTCAGCAGTTGGTATCTTCCAGGCTGCCTGATGTGCAGACCCCCATGCCGTCAGCAGTTGGTATCTTCCAGGCTGCCTGATGTGCAGACCCCCATGCCGTCAGCAGTTGGTATCATCCAAGCTGACTGGTGTGCAGACCCCCATGCCGTCAGCAGTTGGTATCTTCCAAGCTGACTGGTGTGCAGACCCCCATGCCGTCAGCAGTTGGTATCTTCCAGGCTGCCTGATGTGCAGACCCCATGCCGTCAGCAGTTGGTATCTTCCAGGCTGCCTGATGTGCAGACCCCCATGCCGTCAGCAGTTGGTATCTTCCAGGCTGCCTGATGTGCAGACCCCCATGCCGTCAGCAGTTGGTATCATCCAAGCTGACTGGTGTGCAGACCCCCATGCCGTCAGCAGTTGGTATCTTCCAAGCTGACTGGTGTGCAGACCCCATGCCGTCACTAGTTGGTATCTTCCAAACTGACTGGTGTGCAGACCCCCATGCCGTCACTAGTTGGTATCTTCCAGGCTGCGCGATGCTCTGCTCGTCCCTCTTTGTCCGGTTGCGACAGAGGCCATAGTAATTATGGGGAAATTTGCGTTTTTGAATGAATTATAAATGAATGGTGGATCAACAAGCAAAGACCGAGTGGGGACTGGTTTGCTGGCAATGACACACCCGAGAATTTCGTTTTAAAGGACAGCAGAGCAACGGAGAAAGGGTACAGTTTGCTTCCAAGACAGTCTGCAAGATGGCTAGCTTTCTTCATTAGCATGCTAACATTAGCTAGCCAGCTAACGTTAGCATAGTAAACAAGAGCTTTCATTGCGTGTGCGGCTGCTTTCACAACATGAGATGCTCCCAGTGTGGGACGTAGAGACAACCAGGCCAATATACTGAGCACTGTAGAGTCTGTCTGAAGTTTAAAACACATGAAATAAGCTTAGAATATTGGAAAAAGCCACATTGGGCAGTGTGGCTAGCAAGTTAGCTGCACATCTGTAAGTAATCATTTCAGAGAGGGAGGGGTGCTGGATAAACCGCTCACACTTGCAGCCAGGTCAGGTAACTGGGCTTTTCTACAGAAAGCAGCGATAGTAAAGTGTGCATAACAACTTTGATCTGACGGTATTTGGTGACCAAATCCCGGCGTGACAGACCCCGTGGGACACCTTTGCAGCTGGAAAGCAGTTTGCAGACCTGGGCCATTGGCTTTTAATTTGACATAGCCATTACTTTAAATCATATCCACACACTAGTAAACATGACTTGAAAGTAGAGAATTCTTTTCGGCTTTAGCCCCTCAGACGACTTCATTTTTAACTTTTTTTCTTGCATATGAACGGTGAAATGCCACTTCACCGATAGTCATATTAGCTAATGGCTGCCGAATCGGGGAGACTACAGGCGGGACAAGGAAAGAGAAGCAAAGGTAGGATTTACTTTCACCCATCTCCTGATCCGATCGGATTCATCCATTACTGCGCTGCAATGGGCTGCACTGGTGCTAAACCCCCATAATGTAAACTTCACGACTTGTCTCCGGTGGTGGCTGCTCCTCACAGACTGAACCTGTGAACGGGGCCGTGTCTTTTATCGCTATAAATGTATCTTCAAGTTTCCTCGTCCTCATGTCCGTATTCTCTTGTCCCTCATTGACCTTACCTTACTCTGCCTCTGAATGTTGGCTCTACCTCCCCAGGTCATTTGGTTTGCCTGGGTCAGAAGGCTTCATAACCTGTTGATGCAAACCCTGGATGTTCAGCATCTTGTCCTCATGCCAGTCTTTGTCCCGTCATTGAACCATCTCAACTGTTGGACTTCAAACAGAGGCCCTAGGTTTAACAGCTGCCTGTCTGTCACTAAGGGGTGTTGGCCAATCCAAATGGGATTTTGTGTTGGTAGCGGGTAGACTACTTGTATCTGAAATTATGAAAAACATTTGTTTATCTCTCTGCTTACAGCTTCACAGATGAAGAGCCCAGAGAAGAAAAAACAAAGAAAATCCGCCGCTCAGGTAATGAAGTGTTTATGAAATAACAAACTGCAACAGACATGTGAACAACAGGGTAATAATAGATTTATGTACATTATCTGTTTCAGTCAACGGGATTCTCCCATCTCACTGAGTTTGCGCCTCCTCCCACTCCTATGGTGGATCATCTGGTGGCGTCCAACCCTTTTGATGATGACTTTGGACCCCCATCTCGACCTGCAGGGGCAGGTGGTCCCGGCGGTGCACCTTTTCTTCCCAGTCCGGGTGCAGGAGGTGGCTATGGTGGTGCTGGCAGGATGGGTGGAGGAATGGGCTTCATGGGGGGCCCAGGAGGACCAGGAGGTGGCCCCCCTGGACGGAGACCACCATTCGGCCCTCCCTCTAACGCTGGACCTCATCACCAGCTAGGATTTGGTGGAATGCCAGGTTATGGAGGTGGTGGGGGAGGAGGCGGAGGAGGGGGTGGAGGGTTTCCTCCGGGTGGCCCGTCGCAGTTTAACATGCCTCCAAACTTTAGTCCACCAATGCATCCAGGATCAGGATTCAGTCCGATGCTTTCGCCTGGTGGTATGGGAGGTCCTGGTGGAGGGGGGCCTCCACATCCAAGGTTTGGCATGCCTCCTCAACAGCAGCATGGTCAAGGGGGGCACCCTTTCAATAGTCCCCCGTTACCTGTTGGAGGTGGACCAAGGGGGCCGTCTCATGGTCCCATGAATTCATTGGGGGGCATGGGTCCAGGACCCATGAACATGATGGGTGGCATGGGAGGAGGACCTGGGGGAAACATGGTTGGAGGGCTGCCAGGTCTGCCTCCCCAAGGACAGTTTCCACCTTCACAGGACGGACCCTATCCTGGGCCCAGTCCACCAGGACCTGGCAATGAGGAAGGAAAGAACTTTGGGCCTGGGCCACAGCCGGGACCTCCACAACAACAAATGAACTTAAATCCCAATGGACCACCCCCAAATAACACCACCCCGGGACCTCTTTCCAATTCTGGGCCACCTCAACCCAGTGGAGGTTTTCCTGGACATGACATTCAACAGGGCAACCCCCACACCCCCGGTCAGCCTCCCTCTGTACCACCACAGTCAAACCCCAACTCTTCTCCTACAGGACCCTTAAACGGGTCGGGACAGCCCCCACATTCAGCCCCTGGGCAGCTGCATGGTGCCAGCAACACAAACACCCCAAACTCTAATAACTCTAACCAGCAGCCACAGTCCACACCGCCCCACTCCACTCCAGGAGGCACCCCCTACAGCCAGCAGAACAACACCCCCAACAGCGGGGGCCCAATGTCTAATGCGGCTCCAAACTCTGGTCAGAACAACATGACTAACAACAACGGGGCCAACACTCCTGGTAGCAACCCGAATCCTCCTTCAAACTCCACCTCTACCCCAAACACACAGTCCCCTCTCCCCGCCGGCCCGGCCCCAGCACCTCCTGGTCTTGGGTCTGGCCCCGGGAAGCCTGGCGGGGCTGGTATGGTGTTTCCTTGTGGCCTGTGTCAGGCAGAGGTGCACGATGACCAGGATGCCATCTTGTGTGAGGCGTCCTGCCAGCGTTGGTTCCACCGTGACTGCACCGGGCTAACGGAGCCGGCCTACGGGCTGCTAACACGAGAGAGCGCTGCTGTTTGGGCCTGTGACTTCTGCATCAAGACCAAGGACATCCAGGCTGTGTTTGTGCGCCAGGCCTTAGGTCAGCTTGTAGCTGCCAACGAGAGCTGAGGAGGACTGACACTGTACTAGTTCACTTGGACAGACGCAGTCTTTGGTTGGATTAGGTTGACCATAACTGCGACGTGACTTTTTCTGACGAGCCCTTTATTCACTACAGAGACCACACTCATTGACGTCCATGCTTGTAAACAGCACTTTGAGTGTCTCCAATTAATTTTGGCCCCTTAAATGAATTGAATCATGAATGTCGTAACATCAGATAGCCCTTCAAATATCCAGTCAGCCAACCAGCAAAGCACTGACACCAACACACTACCTCACACAGTTTGGACTGGCATGGACACACTCGCACTGATGTGATCCACTGAGTCTGTGCACTACATGAGTGTGAGGATATTTAACATGAACACACACACTCACTGAAGGGAGGTACACGCCACTGTACCTACATTAAGCCCCACTTGTCTGATAATGTAAAATTATTAAAATGTTACTATCAGTGCCTAAAGTCAAAAGGGCCTTGGAATATAATTTGAGAGTTAGCTTGTATAAAATGTTTGTGAAACTATTATCTGAAAGATAAGCCCATTCATAAGTGAAACATCACTGCTTTATGCTTTTCTCTGGCCCTCTTCTGACTGATTACCTCAAACCAAATTCACCATCAAAATAGTTGTATATATTCAAATGGGACATTATCATTTGTGAACATGGTGCATAACTGACCAATTGTCCTGGGTGTAAACTATTATGGCATTTTGGGTTTTATACAAATACCATTTGTTTTTATCTGCAGTAGCCTGCTCTGAGTCGTGAACAGTGCTTTTGGGTGGTGTTGGCATAGCAATTAGTGGCATCATGTCATATCAGATGTGCTTAGTCCTGTTCATATAAATGGGAAGGGGTGCATGAAAACCAATGCAGTAAATGTTTGTTCTGGCCTGAGCGCAGGCCGTGAAGTAGACCAAAAAACTAAAGAACAATTTCATATTTCTGTCAGGCTAAAGGTGTTTGTAACTATCATCCTCTTGTTTTTCTGTCTATTCGATGTCCAAGATGCCTTTTGCTTTGATTTTTCTCTGCTTTTCCTTATTTTGTAATGGCATTGTGCTGTGCTCTTGCTCCATTTTGGCGCCTCCTGGTGGAGACTGTGGGTCCCACACCGGGTGGGGAAGGGAAAGGTACTGAACTTTGAAGTAAAACAGATTTTTGTAGATGTGTGTTCCAGTGTCTTTTTGTGTTGTATAATTATGGAGTTTCATCAATGGTTTGTCGCTTTGGTAAAGAAAGAGGTCAAGGTAATTTCAATTAGGGTTATGGTTAGCATACATTTTTCTGCTGGGACTAAGTGCTTTTTTAACACGGGGGGTCGGTTAAGGCAATGATTGTAAAGTCATGGAGACAGAGCGCAAATACAGCTAATTATCCTTTACTGTTGTGTGTGTACACAGGACTCCAGTCGGGCTTATGTTGAACTATATAGTGTGAAATATATAGTTCCCTTTACAAAGGGTTCTCAAACAGATTGAGTCTGTTTTACAAATAGTTGAAGGCGACGATCTTATTTTCTGGGGAGACACAGAACGCTCTCTGGTGTAGCGTTCTGTTGTATTTTATTATACAAGAATAAAGAAATGTAGTTGCCATTTGTGCACAAACTGGAATTTTTGTTCAGGGCTCTTGTGGTCAAAACTAGATACACAATTGCATTTACAAAGACTTAATTTAGTGTCTTCTTTCATTCTTTAAGATTGTTCATATTTACAGACCATTTAGAGGACAGAGTTATGGGACAGAGTGATCTATAAATACCAGGTTTTTTTGTTTTTACAGAAACAAGGTTAACAAAAGCAGCAGCTATTCATTTTTTTTGTATTCAATTTGGTGTATTTTACCCACTTACTCCAACATGAATCAAACCACTGCTTATCTGTTCTTTTTATTGCTCTCAATGTGATCTCAGATTTTGGGCCTAAAAAATTTATAATATCCCCATAGATTGTTTGGTCACACCACTTTTTGGGACACTTAAAGACGTCAATATTCATTCACTCCAAACTCGGTGGTGATAAACTATTACTTAAGCCACAGCTGCCCTGGTGCACACAGACAGAAGCGAGGCAACCAGTCTTTCCACCACCAACCATTCTAACACACACACACACAGTGGGTGAAGTGTCTTGCCTAAGGCCTCAACAACAGTTTGGCACTTACAGCCGCCCCACTGTGGCACCTGGTGTTGGTCTCCCATCACAGTACTAACCAGGCTCTGCCCTGCTTAGATTCAAAGGTCTGATGGGATCTGGCTTTCCCCTGCAGGTGAGGTCACAATTACACACATGCCTCGAAGTGTTTCATATTAAAGTTTGGTTAGTGTTGACCTCATTTACATATTCAAATTAATTTTCAAAGAAACCATATAATAAAATAAAATGTTAACTTTCCATTTATTATATTATATAGTTATGGTTGCTATGGTGATATGAGATTTTTTTTTTTTTTTTTTTTTTACCATTGTTTGTATTAGTTCATCAAAAACCCCTATTTTGCCTGGACTATTTAGGCCTATAAACATATAATCTTTATTCTTATTTTTATAGAACTGTGTCTATTACCTATATTTTTTTCTTCTCCATAATTGATATTCTAATGCATCTGCTCTTTTTGTTGCACTTTTGTCTTTCCGTTTTATGTAAAATGCATTAGACACAAATTATTATTATTTCAAAGCCAGCACTAGCCACGCCCCCCGGATCCTCCCACCAATGGAGAGGAGCCGGGGGCGGGACTATCCACCGCGCACTCAGGCAACAGGTATCCTCAGCACGGAGCAGGATGTGTGGACTTCTCCCACTTCTCCCGGGGACCATCTGCACATCTCCGGAGCGCGCTGTGGGGCCCCTGGTTTGACAGGACCCCCCCTAGACACCGCCCATTCAACCCGGGAATCTGCCCGCGTCTCCCGCAGGTGCAGCGGAGTGAGTATGTGGTGGAGTTAGGATCCAAAGTGACTTCAGCCTGTAATATAAGCCGCGGTGTGAGTTTGCATTGCTGAGAGAGAAGAGAAAATGTGTTTGTTGTGGTTTAGAGTTGGCACGCATCTTCTCAAAACCTTTCCCTGCTGGATCTGTCAAAAAAACGCGCTTTGCATTCTGGGTTCGGACGCTACTCGCTCTCTTTCTATAATTGGATGTGACGGGGTTTGGCCAAAGAGGATATGAAGAGGTTATTCTTGCAGGTAAACACTTCAAATCGGATGCGACGGCGGCTCGTTGTGAGGCAGGCGGGCTATTTTAGACCCGTGCTGCCCTGGACTTGTTGCTGCTGACTGGACAAGGGGCCAGGCGAGTGTAAATAAAAATCCGATGGAGGTTTCGACGCGCATGCACCGATACTGACTTTACCGGATGGGTGGGTGTGTGTGTGTGTGTGTGTGACGCAAAGATCCCAGGGAGCAGGGCTGGCAGGTGCACTGGGAGACTCCGCTCTCATGGCTGTTTCTGATCTAAAGTGGGGACATAGACACTCATAACACTATTGCATTGTTCTAATGAGGAGTAAACAAGCAAACCCAAGGCTATTAAACAAGATGAAAGCGGCGTGTGTGTGTGTGTGTGTGTGTGTGTGTGTGTGTGTGATTTTACACTGAATTGCTCCAGAATTAACTGTGTCCTTGGGGCTCTACAGGCTTCAAGGTATTTATGTAAACAAACTAGAACAATTGAAGGACCACTGTTGGGTCATGGTTTTACACAAGAGCTTGTAAAGTGGACTGTCAATATTTAGATGTTTGTGATTAATCAGTTAATGGTTCTTAGTCAATCAAGTGTTGTTGACTAATTATTATACTGTTATGTATATGTGAAATCCGCAAAAAATGAAACGTTATCATTATTATTGGTTATTTTATTTAGATTATTTGGTATTGTTTGATATTCAAGCCAAAACCAACTCTCCATTCACCTTTGTAATCATCCGACGCTGTATCCAATTTCTTCTGCTTTATCTGTTGCCGAGTCAGATGGGCGGCAGTCTGAGCAGAGACGCCCAGACTTTTCTATCCACACTCTTCCAGTAATCCTGAGGCATTCCGTGGCCAGCTGAGAGTCCCTCCATCGTGTCCTGGGTCTTCCCCCTCCATCCAAAACAGAAAGTTGAGCCCCTTTAACTGGCTCCTCTCGATGTGGCGGCTCTACTGAGTGTGAGTGTGGAGGAAACTCATGTGGACCGTTTGTATCCGTGATTTCATTCTTTTGGTCATTGCCCAAAGCTCATGACCAGAGGTGAGGGTGGGAACGTAGATTGACTGGTAAATTATTGAATCAACATGGTTTTATTAATCGCTTATAGGCATTTACCATGTGTAAACTCTGGTCCATGATCATTTCCTACATGTACAGTGTCTTGCGAAAGTATTCGGCCTCCTTGAACCTTTCAACATTTCGCCACATTTCAGGCTTCAAACATAAAGATATAAAAATAAAAATTTTTGTCAAGAATCAACACAAGACACGATCGTGAAGTGAAACAAAATTTATTGGATAATTTAAACCTTTTTAACAAAAAAAAAACTGAAAAGTGGGGCGTGCAATATTATTCGGCCCCTTGCGCTAATACTTTGTAGCGCCACCTTTTGCTGCAATTACAGCTGCAAGTCGCTTGGGGTATGTCTCTATCAGTTTTGCACATCGAGAGACTGGAATTCTTTCCCATTCTTCCTTGCAAAACAGCTCGAGCTCAGTAAGGTTGGATGGAGAGCGTTTGTGAACAGCAGTGTTCAGCTCTTTCCACAGATTCTGGATTGGATTCAGGTCTGGACTTTGACTTGGCCATTCTAACACCTGGATACGTCTATTTGTGAAAGCGTGATGCTGCCACCACCATGTTTGACAGTGGGGATGGTGTGTTCAGGGTGATGAGCTGTGTTGCTTTTATGCCAAACATATCGTTTTGCATTGTGGCCAAAAAGTTCGATTTTGGTTTCATCTGACCAGAGCACCTTCTTCCACATGTTTGGTGTGTCTCCCAGGTGGCTTGTGGCAAAGTTTAAAAGAGACTTTTATTGGATATTTTTGAGAAATGGCTTTCTTCTTTCCACTCTTCCATAAAGGCCAGATTTGTGCAGTGCACGACTGATTGTTGTCCTATGGACAGACTCTCCCACCTCAGCTGTAGTTATCTGCAGTTCATCCAGAGTGATCATGGGCCTCTTGGCTGCATCTCTGATCAGTCTTCTCCTTGTTTGAGATGAAAGTTTGGAGGGACGGCCGGGTCTTGGTAGATTTGCAGTGGTCTGATACTCCTTCCATTTCAATATAACTGTTTGCACAGTGCTCCTTGAGATGTTTAAAGCTTGGGAAATCTTTTTGTATCCAAATCCGGCTTTAAACTTCTCCACAATAGTATCTCGGACCTGCCTGGTGTGTGTTCCTTTGTCTTTATGGTTCTCTCTGCGCTTTAAACAGAACCCTGAGACTATCAAAGAGCAGGTGCATTTATACGGAGACTTGATTACACACACGTGCATTCTATTTATCATCATCAGTCATTTAGGACAACATTGGATCATTCAAAGATCCTCACTGAACTTCTGGACTGAGTTTGCTGCACTGAAAGTAAAGGGGCCGAATAATATTGCACGCCCCACTTTTCAGTTGTTAAAGAAGTTTAAATTATCCAATAAATTTTGTCCCACTTCACGATTGTGTCCCACTTGTTGTTGATTCATGACAAAAAATTTAAATGTTATATCTTTATGTTTGAAGCCTGAAATGTGGTGAAATGTTGAAAGGATCAAGCGGGCCAAATACTTTCGCAAGGCACTGTACGTCTGGTCTTACCATGTGTAAACTCTGGTCCATGATCATTTCCTACATGTACGTCTGGGTCTGATCCTAGTGGCTGCAGTTTCCTCGGTTGAATCCCCTCCGACCAAGGTTCGGAGGGGATTCCGAACCTTCCCAGGTTCTACTTCCCACGGGCTCAGGAGATGGCTAAAGCTAGGCTAAATGCTAAATGCCTCACTCACTCGGGCTTACTATTTTAAAAGTCCGTGATATCAATTAATCGTTTGCAATGAGCTGCATCAAGCCTTAAGTGCAGATATGGTCCAACCGTAGCTTGTTAAACATATTTGGATTTCAGATTGGTTAATGTTTCACTATATTGTCATACAGATGCTACCTTTTTATGTACTTTTAAGAGCAAAAGAGTGAACATTCCATCTCCTTTTCCTGCACCCTGTGATAACCAGCCTCTAGTTTGACACAACAGGTTTCTTCTGTAATGTCCGAAGGCTAAAGGAAAGGATCTGTGTCGGAGGAGAATATATTCAGGAGAAAAGGAAGAGTGCTGGCAGCGGACAGTCCAGTCTGGTGGCATTCCTGTCTCTGTGGATAGAGAAGCTGCGTGCACGAGGTGAATGAGCGTGCACGAGGAGGAGCTGCAGTAAAACATGCAGTCATCGCAGAGCAGAGAGGTGTTGGTTTATGCTTTCAGAAGTCCAGAGCCATGTTTTTACTGTCGCTTTATAGATGCGTGACAGACAGACAGGGATTCTACGCCATGGTTTAAATAATTACTGTAAACTTCAATCAGCAAAATGAGCCCAGTCTGAGATATGGGTAAAATCTAGTCTGCACGGCATATAGATGATGAATGAATCCTTAATTTCGAGCCATGGCAAACAAGAGAACAGCAACAATACATGATCATATGTAGAAATAAACAGTAGGTTTTGTTTTATTTACAAAAATCCAGCTCGAAAATGAGTGGGAAGAAGTTAAGACATAAACTTAAAATCCCACCCCCTTTTTATTACTTAAATTATGTGGTAATAAATGCTTGAAATCAACTGTTTTCAGCAAATCATATTCTTTTGTACTGATTTATTATATTTTAGCCATGTCTGTATTAGGTGACTGTGATGGAGAGCAGCCAGCACCATTGTTAATTAATTTTAATAATTAATTTTGCAATTGGTAAATCTTGTTTTAATGCAGTAAAATTAAGATACAATTTGTACATTTTGCCAAATTATCCTTATTTTGGAAATTTTGAGCAGGCTGATTAATTGCCATCAAACAGTTTCCGGCTTTCATTACTTTGTTGCGTCACCTGCATGTAAAAGCCCATCCTGTCAGACCTCTAAAGCTAAGCAGAACAGGGCGTGGTTTGTGCTGCGATGGGAGACCTCGGGGAACACCTGGTGCATGAGTGGGGGCGGCTGCCAAACTGTTGTGTTCTTTGGCAAGACACTACCCACGTTGCCTAGTATGAGTCTGGTGTGTGCGTGAAGGGTCGGTGGTGGTCGCAGGGGCCCCACGGCGCAGACTGGTTGCCTCGCTTCTGTCGGTCCACCTTAGTCTATCCCAGGGCAGCTGTGGCACCTGGCGTTCCAAAACATCTCCCATCACAGTACTAACCAAGCCCTGCCCTGCTTAGCTTCTGTGACAGGATCAAGCTTTCACATACACGCAGCGCCACGAAATAGAGTGTTTTTCTCCGCGGAAAGCTGAGGTTGCCAGGTTTTAATCAAGACACACAAAAAGTATCCCTTCTAGCAACATCCTTGTCATAAAACCTTGTATAAATATTAATTAACTTGCTTTTCAAATGATCAGGACGGTCTTAATCTTTAAATGATTGTATTTTTGAATAAACAGAGTCCCTGCATGGGTCCAGTTTGTGTATTTTTTAACCTCCTTTGTGAAGACGGTGAGAGCTGTGTGCAGTTGAGCTATTGTTGGAGTCAGTATTTACCTAAGGAACATGTTTATATCTGGGAGCTATGAGGAAGCAGTCCCCGAGGGGCCGCTGTGACTACTGCGTCTGATGGTTTTATAACCACAGCCTTTGGAATAAGTTTAAGCTGAAACTAGAGTAAAACTATTGCCGTGTGGTCTTTTATTATAATATACTGGTTGTTTATTGTGTAACAGTAGAAGGAGGCTGAGGACTTTGAGGAGGATTTTTACTG